CCAAAACCCCAAAACCCCAAAACCCCAAAACCCCAAAACCCCGCTATTAAATATTAAAAATTAACATCAAAGTTATATAAATGCATGATAATATTATAATTTAAAGTGTTTTAATGGAAGATTATAAGTCTTATGACTAAAATCTGAGTAAAGTATCCATTCTTAATCAAATAAAGAAATAAATGGACTTTTTGATGAACTCTTTGATGACATAGAATTGATTAGCTCTGCTAAAATTATGGATGGACTATTTGTAGGAGACAGTAAAACTGCTAATGTAAATTACTCACAATGAATTCCCTAATCTTTAATTCTAGGACTTTTAATTTCTAAGCAATAACAAGATAACTTACATAATAAACTGTGCTCCTTAGGAAATATAATCCTAATATAAGCAGTAGGGACTAAAGTATCTCGAGCTTTAACTTGAGCCAAAGAAAGTAAGTATCCAGTAGGAGTTGTTAGAAGTATTGATAATATTTATAGAGTTTCAATATCTCTGAGAGATTTGTACTAATTCTAAGTGAATTCATTAATCAGGCATTTGATAGTTTTCAAGGAGTATTCATACATTCTAACGATGGTAAAACTAGAGCACCACTGATTGTTCTCATGTTTCTAATGAATCGGTAAGTAAAATTATTTAAATAATTTGAAATAGCAAATAATCTTAATAGTTTCCGATGGTCAACTCTGAAGGCGTTAGAGTATCTGAATTTCAAGAAGCCTGATGTAGAGTTCACAGCATCTATTTTAAGGTCAATTAATGATTTTGAGCACAAACTGAAATCTGATAAGATTCAGTACATCACCACAGACTGGACATAATTGTGTAATATTATTTAGTTGACTCATACAGATTAGCTAGGAGATTATGCTGAGGAGGAACTTATACTGACCAATACATTCATCAATACATGCAAGGATGACGATGAATAGATTTAATAAATTGTTGATGATAACATAAAACATGAAAATAAGTTATCATTGGATTATCATAATAAGAATTACAAGCAAAAATTGAGAAAATTCAAAGTAAGATGGAAAGATTAATAATTAGAAAATACTGTTAAAAGTTGGATAATCTAAAGAGTTGAAGAACAGAAAATCCAAAATAATACTAATAAGCTTGTTGAATACATTCCTGAACCTCAGTTCAAATAGAACAAGGCAACTACCAAACTAATGCTGGATAAAAAAGAGAGCTAAGCAGACAGTAATCTCAATGATAATAATGTTGACTAAGAGTCAACTATAATCCGCAGAGAAAAAACTTAAAATCTGATGAAGAAAATGATAGTCTCAAATGTTAGAGTTATTAAGCTCAAGAAAGATAAAGTTTAGATTCAAAGAAGCCAAAATGATAATAATTCGTATTTGTAAGATTCAAGTGTCTTTGAAGGGGATTAAAGCAAGAGTGAGAGTTTTAACTCTTCTATGATGAAAAGTGATTTTTCTTAGGAAGTTTAGAGCTATCAACCATAACTAGTGATAAATCGAGTTCAAAGCAAAATGGAGAACTAAATCGAAAGTAATCAGAAAAGTGAATTCAGAATAAAAATACTGCAGACTTAAAGAATAGTCTCAGATGTAAACTAGAATATTCAGGTTAATAAAAAGGAATGCGAAAATGACTATTACTCTAATCCCCTTTCAGCTAATAACAAGCAATTTTCAAATATTTCAAATATGATAGAATAAGTATCGGAAAGCAATAAATAACTTATGAACATAATTCGATAGAGTACTGGAAAGACCGAAATTACTTGTTCCAGTAGAACTTAAAATGACTCACCTATCACTAAATTTAATACCAATAATCTCAAAGCAAATATACAAGGAAGTAGCAGCTAACTATCTTAGAATTCTGATAATACTGTAAATAAAAGAGCAGTAAATATAGATTAGTACCTTCGAAAGGAAAAATTAAAATAAGATTCATATAGTAAGGGAAATGACTATGCCTAAAATTGGAGCACTTAGACTAGATATAATCCATTGAATGCTATGAAAAGCTAAACTCTAAATAACTCTACCGTAAAAATTGACTAGAACCCAAACCAAATTTAACAATAGCCAATGCAAAAGTACAATTAACTTTCAAGAAATATTTAAGGTTTCAGCAATTAAAGTTACTACCCTTCAAATCTTGATCAAAGCTCCAGATTCAGATAGCCTTTAAATTTTAATACAATGAAATAAATAAGTGAAATTAAATAATCTGTAAGTCTCAATAGGTCATTTTTCATTTAAAGAAAAGTGGAGCTGTCTAATGAAAAGTAAACTTTTGTCAATTAAAAAGCAATCAAATTGCTTAATTAAGATTAATTAAAGAATAAATCTGAGGGAAAAGGTTTTGCAGCTCCTACTGCTATATAAAAATAAGCATTAGTTTCTTTGGATTATAATGAAGACTAGTCTAAATTTTTCAGCAGAAGAGCGTAAACACCTATGAGAGATAACATTAAAAATAGTTCAATAGAATAGATGCAAGTGTAATAAGGAATAAAATCCAAATAGTCAAAATAAGATAATTCAATGGTAGTGAATCTTTTCAATTAGAATTAAGGATAGAAGAGAAATTCAATCGGAGAAATGAATCCACATTTTTTGAAAACACTCTAAATATTTTCTAAATCAAGAGAACTAGATAACTCATGCAAAAAGTGACAAACTTAGTAAAGTATTATTTTATATTACGGCAAACTATAGCCAGGTAAATTATATATAGTTATTGAAAATATTTATTAACTAATTTTACTGATAATAATTATATTACATCTTGAGGGGTTTTGGGGTTTTGGGGTTTTGGGG